TACATTGTTACACTATTAACAATAGAAATTGGACCTTTTTGCCTAGGCAGGTTCAGCAAAATGTAGAATTTTTAGTTTAGCAACATGCTAACACCTGACCTTTGATACCTTGGTATCAACTGTGAATGTTAGCTGAGTCTTTCCAGTGAGGAACAGTATTTGTGTGGTGTTCAAATCGGTCGCTTCAGATCAAGGTTTTGGAACAGAATTTGTGTGTTTGTGCATTTATTTTCCTTGATCTCAAAGCTTAGATAAACCGGTGGGACGGTGTCTTGCTCTCACTCGGTCATTAGAAGCAGCAGTCGGCTCAGACTGATGAATAAGGGCATGTCAGCATTCCTGTGGCTGGCTGAGGACGACGACTGCTGAGTCTTGTAGCCCATTAAGGGGATTGATACATGGACATTCTCAGTAGGAAGTGATGAGGTTGGCTAACCCTACATGTTCATTGGTGTGAGGTAGGTGTAGCATGAGCGTGTGTTTCCAATTCTGTATGGGAACGACAGGCTTGCTCGGGATTGTGGGATTGACAGTAGAGCATCAAAATCTGGCAAATACTGAACTTGCATACGTTGAAAAACAGCTGTTGGCAGCCAGAATCTGTGTAAGATGAAGGGAAGCTAAGGTTGTGATTATTTTAGTTTGTGGCAGATATAGGGCTGGATTTTCTTAATACATACAGTATATTTGGGTCAATTACATAAGAGTGATGCCTGCAATAAATTGGTGTTATTTTAGTATCACTGAGATACTATTACAGTTTTTAATTATCAAAATTTGTAAATAAAGTTAATAAATGAATAAACATAATGAATTTAATGCATTTTAATAAATGAATTCTTTCCCTACCAGCGATGTATTATTATAATTTTTTTTAAGTTGCCAGCCACTGCCAGCATTTTTGATCAAGTTTAATGGCACCCAGAAAATGTTGTTGTTATGAATATCTAACTACGTCTGGATCAGATTCAGAACAATGATCAAAACATAGATGGAATAGATCTCTTCCATCAACACATCCAAAGCTTGCACGGTCCTATACCACTTCCTGGATCGTCATTTCATTTGGTAACATTAGGCAGTTTTGATTGATATGCTTGATGATTGCATTATTTTACATCTGCTTACATATGAAATCGCTTGTTTCTGTTTCTTCTTTGCCGTGTTTTGATCAAGACGTTCAGTACTCTTTCAAAAGATGCGTAATAGCACCTCCTACCAAACACCAGTGGCAGGGAAGCATTGTCTCACAAATGACGGAAAATGGGGAAAGAGTTAATAGATCCAAAACAGTCATGTCATTGACCTGCACATAGAATTGTCATCTTCTGTTTGTAGAACCTTGTCAATGGATGTGATCAGTTGATTGGCAAGGAATTTCCTTTAGATTTTGCAATACATTCCCACAATCCTCCCATGTCTGCATTTTCAGAACTGTTGTGGTCAAAAACGACCAATTCCTTGTCTGTGGCTTCGCAACTCCTTGATGTGGATATCTGTTCCAAACTACCGCTTTGGTTTGGCACAAGTTTCTTTTGAAAGGCGCATGCATCTGTTTTTAAACCCTTGCACGCACGTGTGTTCAGGTCGTTTGAAAAAGGCTTTGGTACATGAATAGGTTTTTGTTTTGCATGTTTGAACAGTTCTGACACGTACAAGTCGGTCACTCTGGCATTTGGAAGTTAGTTTGAGGGCATTTATGCCATCTACTCAAGGTTAAATTCCTTAAACCCTTTGCTTTTTTCCTCTCTTTGCCGATGACACACGGTCAGCGGTATTTTGCAGTCTTCACAGAAATCCTCAGAGTTGCTGAGTCGAGCGTGTGTTTGTGAGTGCGTGACACTAATACTTTCAAAACCCACAATCCCACAGTAAACGGAGATAAACCAGGCCTTGCTGACCCACACATACTCCGTCTTAGCTAGCCTTCTCAACCCTGTTCATCCCTGTAATAATATTTCATAATATTTACAGTTCTCACGGCTCCTGTCAGGTCTAGGGATTCTGTACACTACTGGTTGTGCATTACATGTCTCTCATGTGGTGCCTGGTCGGATGAGGGAATTTTTTTGCTTTTATAGCATTTTATTTTTTTCTCCCCCTCTGAATTCCATTTATAATGTTTGCCAAAATGTATTATACATTGTTTTACAAAACCATTTTCCATCCTCTGAATTAAACAGCCTGTTTTTGCTACTTTACCTTTAAGACTATCTGTTTACGTTATATGTATGTACAGTGTTGGGGAGTAACTAGTTATATGTAACGGAAATACGTTATTTAATTACAAAATAAATATAACTGTAATCTGTTAGTTACTGAGAAAAAATGTGTAATTAAATTAGTTAATTATGAAAATGTTAAAGATTACAAAGGGGCTTATATCAGAGTATTTTCACAAACATACAGATTTTATTGATTTCTTTCCCAAATTGCATTGACTGCTCTAAAATATGAGACACCAATGTTTCAGAAGTTTAGGACACAGAATAGGACATGCTTATTTGATAACCACTTTATTTCCTATTTGGGTTTGTGTATGTTTTCTTTTTTAAGATTAACTGTTTTTTTCCAAAGCACTGTTAGATTCAAGTGTTTCCTGTCATAGCTATGCAAAGATTTGATTTAAAAAAAACATCATATAGCTATTAAACTATTTCCTATGATTTTAAATAAGTATTTAACCTCAGAACAATATCAAGTAAAAAGAGGTGCTGAAGTGTGATTTTGTGGTGGATGTGCTTTAAAATTTAATTATTATAAATAATATTTAAAGCAAGGACAATCCTGTTTTTGAAGATATAATAAAGCTTATTGGAGAAAGGCTTGAGCTGGAGACATATGTCTCACACAGGGGTACATGCTGACTGATAAACCCTTTCTAGCCTGCGAAAATGGCTGAAGGAAATGCGATGTGGCATTTCGATTTAGAGTGGGGTCCTGGCAGGGGGCTCGGCTGTGAAATATCACGACTGTTAGCATACAGGAGCGCTGCTAGCTGTACACACAGCAGGCTTTAGCCCTGTGATTTCCTCAGCTGATAGACTAGCTTTGTCTTCATTCAGAACCTCACACGGCTGGTTTTGCGGTCGTTCGTTTGGGTTTAGTTACTCAAACACATTTGGTTGGTTAGTCAGATAAAGCTCGCACGTGTGTTCAGGTCGTTTGAAAAAGGCTTTGGTACATGAATAGGTTTTTGTTTTGCATGTTTGAACAGTTCTGACACGTACAAGTCGGTCACTCTGGCATTTGGAAGTTAGTTTGAGGGCATTTATGCCATCTACTCAAGGTTAAATTCCTTAAACCCTTTGCTTTTTTCCTCTCTTTGCCGATGACACACGGTCAGCGGTATTTTGCAGTCTTCACAGAAATCCTCAGAGTTGCTGAGTCGAGCGTGTGTTTGTGAGTGCGTGACACTAATACTTTCAAAACCCACAATCCCACAGTAAACGGAGATAAACCAGGCCTTGCTGACCCACACATACTCCGTCTTAGCTAGCCTTCTCAACCCTGTTCATCCCTGTAATAATATTTCATAATATTTACAGTTCTCACGGCTCCTGTCAGGTCTAGGGATTCTGTACACTACTGGTTGTGCATTACATGTCTCTCATGTGGTGCCTGGTCGGATGAGGGAATTTTTTTGCTTTTATAGCATTTTATTTTTTTCTCCCCCTCTGAATTCCATTTATAATGTTTGCCAAAATGTATTATACATTGTTTTACAAAACCATTTTCCATCCTCTGAATTAAACAGCCTGTTTTTGCTACTTTACCTTTAAGACTATCTGTTTACGTTATATGTATGTACAGTGTTGGGGAGTAACTAGTTATATGTAACGGAAATACGTTATTTAATTACAAAATAAATATAACTGTAATCTGTTAGTTACTGAGAAAAAATGTGTAATTAAATTAGTTAATTATGAAAATGTTAAAGATTACAAAGGGGCTTATATCAGAGTATTTTCACAAACATACAGATTTTATTGATTTCTTTCCCAAATTGCATTGACTGCTCTAAAATATGAGACACCAATGTTTCAGAAGTTTAGGACACAGAATAGGACATGCTTATTTGATAACCACTTTATTTCCTATTTGGGTTTGTGTATGTTTTCTTTTTTAAGATTAACTGTTTTTTTCCAAAGCACTGTTAGATTCAAGTGTTTCCTGTCATAGCTATGCAAAGATTTGATTTAAAAAAAACATCATATAGCTATTAAACTATTTCCTATGATTTTAAATAAGTATTTAACCTCAGAACAATATCAAGTAAAAAGAGGTGCTGAAGTGTGATTTTGTGGTGGATGTGCTTTAAAATTTAATTATTATAAATAATATTTAAAGCAAGGACAATCCTGTTTTTGAAGATATGTCCCACTGAATGTGCATCAGGATGCTCAGACAAAGAGTATGATGTTTAACTTGTACCATTAAAACACTTTGGTGTCAACATCTCTCTCTCTCTCTCTCTCTCTCTCATTGTGTCTTTCTAGTAGACATTATGCCATTATATAGATCAAATACATACTACTTTTAGACTTTTTTAAACCCATTTTCTCCTTCATTTGCTCTCCTTCATTCTTCTCTGCAAAGAAAGCCTGTTCCCGTGGCAACATAAAAATAATTTTTACCACGCAGATATAATAATGTCATTTTTTCCACTCCCTTTTTATTAACATTCATTTTAAAACAAACTTTTGCTGAAGAGATGCACAGGTAATTTTAGCGTCATTATGGAAAGAGAACAGACAAAGAGAAAAAGAAAGGAAATATGGAAAAGCGGGAGGGAGAATGCAGCGGGGAGCTGAGTGTGTGGACTCCATAATGGAGAATGGATTATGTTTCTAAATGACCCCATTGCCATCACAGGCAGAAAAGAGGCATGAAAAGGTTGAGCTATTCTCTGCTAAAATAGTAGGCTTTTTATGTTCGAATGGAATGACCTGTCTTCTTCCTCGTCTCATTCTCTTCCGTCATTGTTGTTTTCCCATCAGAAAGAGGAGCAGGCCCGCTTGCTACTGTCTGAGGAAGGGAAGGAGCAGCTGATGTTTGAGGTCCCTCTCAATGATTCGGGCTCAGCTGGGTTAGGGGTCAGCCTGAAGGGTAATAAGTCCCGTGAGACCGGCGAGGACCTGGGTATCTTCATCAAGTCCATCATCCACGGAGGAGCAGCTTTTAAGGTAGCATATCACCTATACATTTGGGTGTGTTTGTAACTTATATAATGATTTGAACTTTTTTGGTGAAATAAAATATTGTCTGTGAAACAATAATCCTGCAATCAATAAATCCACCCCAACTTTCATTTCATTAGGTAATGTCAAAACATTCATGACACTTGTCAACAGCACTGATCCATAAAAAAACATTACAGTTGCCCTAATTGAATTTCATTACATACATAACAGTATGGTCCCACACTGAGCATTTTTTTTAATTCAGCAAGGATCATTTAAATTGATCAGTAAAGACTTTTGCATTGTTGCAAACGATTATTATTTAAAGGTGCCATAGAATGGAAAACTGTATTTATCTTGGCATAGTTAAATAATAACAGTTCTGTACATGGAAATGACATACCGTGAGCCTCAAACACCATTGTTTCCTCCTTCTTATGTAAATCTCGTGCATGCAAAAGACCACTGAAAAATAGGCGAATCAGAACATAACACCGACTGTGACGTTACAGTGGGGATCACTAATAGTTATGCCCCTAACATCTGTATATATCCACCCATGTTCGAGGCCAGCACAGCCAAATCATCAGAAATTCTGCAGGTATTGTGAAGAAACAAGCGAGGACAACAGCGAAAATGGCAGATTATGGAAATAAATGTTATGTTCTAGGCTGTGCAGGGATGGGTTGGTGTCTGTATTCAGAAAGGCACGGAAAGCAAATAACACGCATTCTAATAAAACAACAAGAGCCACTAAAGGGACATGATTAGCTGCATGCTAGCGGTAGCCTGTTACATTACAGTACATAAGATTCACTTACCACATAAACAGAGTAAGGAGAGATAACTGAGGAGGATGGCGAATGATTTACAGATCCTGAGCACCACTGACTAGCATCTGATCTTGTAAAATGTGTGGTAAGTACTGCCGCTGTAGTTTACACAGAGCACATGCGATCGCAAATCTCAAAAGTGAAAGTAAAACGAGATTGTGCATTCGAAAACTGTTTCAATGCCCTGCATATTAATAGCGGCTCCCTGATTGTCCGCATTTTATATACAGTATAATTACCCAACGATATAACTGCGAGAGAAAGTATTGAAATATATATTTTCCCTTTGTTTCCTTCCTGCTGTGTGAGCTACTGAAATGAGCCGCACTGTGAAACAGCCAATCAGAGCAGAGCTCAACATT